ATTTTCACACAGCTTTCTGTAACTGGGTTTTCTATAATTTTTTTTGAAAAGAAAGTTTGAATTTTTAACTTTATTTTAGAGAAAATAAAGTTAAAGTTGCTGAGAGTACAGAGCCCACCTGTTCCCCTCGCTCAGTTTTCCTAATGTTACGTATAGAAGTTACTTCTATACTTATATCTTCTATAAGCCGGGACATTTGTTCAGACTAGGAAACTAGCATCGATACATTAACTGTTAACGAAACTGCAGACTGTGTCCAAAATATTACCCGTTTCCCACCCTTTTCCTTTTCTTTTCCAAGGCTCTGAGCCAGGGAACCGTGTTGCATCTAGTCGTCAGGTGCCGCCAGTCTCCTCTGGTCTGTGATGTTTCTCAGTCTCTCCTTGGGTTTCATGACCTTGACAGTTTCGAAGATTCCCGTTCAGGCATTTTGTAAAATATCTCTCAGTCTGGGTTTGTCTGATATTTTTCTCATCATTGGACTGGAATTATGGGCCTTTAGGGAAGAAGAAGACAGCAGAGGGGAAGCACCCTGCTCCTCGCGTCATATAGGGTACGTGACATCCTCACGACGTGTCCCGGGTCACGTTAACCTTGGTGGCTTGCTAAAGGCGGTGTCTGCCAAGCGTCTCCACTGTGCACGGATGCTAGTTCCTTTTGCAGACTCTCGTTCAGAAATAAGTCTCTAAGTTCCAGCTCGCTCTCAAGAGAAGGCAGAGTAAGCCCTGCCTCCCAGAGGGTCTCCCAGGTCTTGCTGCTGCGCTCGTCCCTTTCCCGCCTCCAGGCTTCGGGTGCAGGTGGAAAGCGCTCCCGCCCCCTCGTCTGCCACGTCCCCGCGCCTGCCACGTCCCCGCGCTGCTGTGCATTTTCGCTCTGTTCGCTTTCTCCATCGCGATGCTGCTGACGCTCACCGAATTCTGCCTCAAAGACTTATTCGTGCAGCCTGCGGGCCATGAATGCGTTTCCCCCTCCTCCCTCCCGGCACCTGGCTTCCAGGACCCAGGAGGCGGTAGCCACCCAGTGAGCAAGAACCCCACCTCTTCATAAGGTGGTGGGGCGAGAAGCTGGAAAGACTCTGAATATGTGAACATTTACAGTTTTTGTTCCTGTGACACGTGTTTATTAACAATGTGCTTATCTGCTCGGTTTCTGGATTTCTGCACTCATCCAGGGCATTAGGAGAATTCATTTGCTCAGGAGAAGAGCCGCCTTGATGCCGCCCAGTGGCAATGTAGGCACAACTCTGGGCAGCATTGAAAAAAGGCTGCCTGTGGAGTGCAAAATGGTTCAGTTGTGGAGATATGTCGGCCGTACAATAGGGATGGGGCTGGGCTTAGTCTTGCAGCTTGGTGGAGGGAGGGCTTTTTTTTTGGTGGAAATGTCAGATCTGAGTCTTCGAAACCCTGTAACTACTTCTTCCTCCTCTCCTTGGCTTTCTATGCCTTGACTAGCCTTCTCTCATCGTCTCCAACTCGTCCCGCTGCGAGCTCACCACTCTCTCTCATCTCTGAGACACTCGTGGCTGCCTACATGTCTCTCCGTTCTATCATAATGGTCGTGAGGAATCAGACTTAGAGAATTCTGTAGAGGGTGGCCCGTGCTTTGGGGATCTTAGAGGCCACAGCGTGAGGGAAAGATATAGTTAGCCTTCATTCTGGATAAATGCCAGCGGTAAAATTGCTGTAATATTAAGTAAGATTAATTAAAGTTTTTGTTCTCAATTTTTCTCATTTCTTCTTTGATTTTGAAATAAAATAAGAAGGTAACATGAAAAACAGAATAGAAACCAGAGCTATCGCTCTCTCAGCAATGCAAAGTACATTATTTTAATAAATTCCAGAATTCAAAACTGAGTTTTCATGTTTTGCATAGAAAGTATCACATTTTTCTAAATCGCTGCAGATAATCCACTTTTCTTTGCCGATACACCGACTCTGTCTCCATGGATGAAAGGAAGTAGAAAGTAGCTATGACTGTGAAATGATGTGTGTTTGAAAAGAAGATGAATCTGTGCATCAATCGCTGGGTATTTTTTTTAGCAAGCATTTTTCTTATTGGAATTAAGTAATTATCTGAATTCCTATGTGGTTTAGCCTTTCCTAACCCCAGTAGTAACATGGTTTGTCAAGAAACCATCTTTATATTTATGGTGATTTATTCTCTGCCTCCTCCTCCTTCATCTTCTTTCTTCTTCTTCTTCTTCTTTTTTTTTTTTTGGCCAGACTAGGCTTTCTGAATACATGTCAGTTGGCGACCAGGCTTTGGATGAAGTCCCTCTGCCTACAGTGGGGCAGGGCAGGGTGGGAGAGAAGGGGCAGTGATATCTGTCATGAAGAAGTCACCGTGGAAACCCTGTTCTTGGGGGAGATTCGCGCCTCGTCAGTTTTTCCGGCCAGTAGCAGATGGAGACCTTCTCCTCTGAGTCTCCAGAGCTGCAGCCAGAGTTTTTAGCTCTGGGTCTTGCAGCCGGGTGGAGATGGTGCACAAACCGTGTGCCCCCGGGAGGCAGGGGCTGCCCACTGCTCACGGCCGCGTCCCTGTGCCTGGCACGCGACAAGCACTCATGAATCTTATCTGAATGACTGGAAGTCCAGTCCTGCGGTCCATTATGTTATTCATAGAGCAGCCGAAGGCCCGGGAGGGCAGCAGGTGGCCTGCAGCCGCACCCAGGGCAGCATGGGTACCAGGTGCAGGGGCTGCCGCCCCCCTGGTGCAGAATGCTTCCCACGACCCACCCTGCCCGCCTAAGAAGCTAGTCTGGCTTCTAACTTCTTTCCAATCCAATCTCTCTCTCTCTCCTCATTTCCTCATGGTCGTTTCTAGCTGGTTTGAACACTCTGCGGGGTCTCTGTTTCTCGTGTAACAACACGAACTTAGCAGCTTCAAGGAACGTCCATTTCTTATGTCACAGTTTCTGTGGATCAGGAGTTTGGGCACAGCCGAAGTGGGCCCCCTCTGCAGGGTCTCACAAGCTGCAATTAGGGCGTTGTCTGTGTTGCGCCCCTGAAACTTATATGATATCGTGTGCCAGCTGCACTTACAACAGAGACCTCGTCTGAGCTGCGTCTTTGCTGGAGCTCGGGGTGCTCTTCCAAGCTCTGGTTGTCGGTGGAATTCAGTTCCTTGCAGCTGGGGAACCAAGGTTCCTGTCGTCTTTCTGGCCGTCAGCTGGGGGCCAGTCTCGGCATCTTGAGGCCTCCCGGCGGGACTTTTCAAGGCCACAGGAAGGCCCGGCCCCTCTTCCAAGGTTTTAACTAATCATGCCCACCCAGGAGTTTGTCCCCTGTCCCCGCCTTCCCCGCTCCCCCCAACCCCCCACAGCACCTGGTCTTCCTAGGTGGTCTCTCATCCAAGTACTAACCAGGCCCGACCCCGCTTAGCTTCCGAGATCAGACAAGATCGGGCGTGTTCAGGGTGGCAAGGCCATAGACCAGGAATTTTGATTATCTCAAACTCAAATGATTTGGGACCTTAATTACGTCTGTGAAAGCCCTTCATCTTTGCCATATAATGTAACCTAGTCACAGAAGCGACATCCCATCTTATTGACAGTCCCACGCCAGGATCATTCGGGGTGTGTGTATCAGGGCGTGGGAATCTCGGGGGCCACCACAAAAACACTGATGTCGGGCTGCTTCCAGGGAAGTTCACATCTGGACAGTAAGTGGAGCACTTCCCTGATATTTCTTGATAAATGTCCAGAAGTTCACATCTGGACAG